ACCCCCCAGGCCTCACCGCACTATTGTCAGTGTCCACGGCTTCTGCAAATACGCATGTAAGTTCTTTGGTTAAACTCTCCCACCCCCACCTGCGCCTTCCCTCCGAGATCCCTCCGTCTGTCCATGTTCTCTGTCCCTGGGTCTATGTTGTTCATCAGATCCCACGTATGTGTGAGATCGTGCGATACTTGTCTTTCTCTGACGGGCTTATTTCACTCAGCAAAATACTTCCCAGGTCCCTCCATGTTGTTTCTCTTTACTGACCAAAGCTCAGGGAAGTTAAGTGGTTTCCTATGGTCACATGGCAAGTCAGGGACCGCACTGAGACCTGAAGCCAAGGCCCCTGTCCACGGGGTGTCCCCGTGCTAGGTCAGATGCCAGGACCGTTCATTCCCTTCCACGTGGCCCCAAGGCCCCCCCAAGTCCCGCCCCCACCCACACTTACTGCACGTCTCTGAAGACCACAGTCACGCGGTCATTGTTCTGGACTTCGATGTCCCACACACATCTGGCGTTGTTCGGATAGTTGCTGGGATAGAAGGGGCTGGAGAAGTGCCCTGATGGCTTGGACAGGTGGCCCCCACAGGAATAACTGCCTGTCGGGACAGAATGGAAATGCTGGCGACCCCCAGAGCGCACAGCACATTGCCTGGTTGGGGTGGGGGGACTTTTTAACAATTCCCAGGACAGAAACCCAACAGGAGGTGGCCTAGACCCGGCCTGTCCATTGAGGCGGGTGGGATGGGCTTCCAGGGCGACTCTACTTAGGGAAGCCATCTCCTTGCCATTGTCATCACCCCTCCCCAGGGTCACGTCACAGACGGAAGACAGAGAAGACCTGTTGGGGAGCTCAGGACTTACTGGTTGGGTGGCTGACGGTGTGGGTAGGAGCTGTTGACAAAGAGAAAAGACCATGGTCAGTTTCCCCGCATTCTTGACAAAACCGTTGAGCGTTTGCTTGCTCTGTGCCAGAAACGTGCCAGCCCTGGGGCCACAGCGAGATGCTGGATACAGGCCGTGCCCTCCGGGAGCTCACAGCCTGGAGGAGGGATGGAGAGGGGCAGACCCTGCCGCAGTGAGCCCATGGGAGCCCAGCGCCTTGGCTCGGGAACCAGCCTGAGCAAGGGGCCAGCTTGTCCCCTAACCCCCGGGTCAAGTAGTGTCCCTGCTAACATGCCCTCCTCACATGGCTCTTTCCCTTTGAAACACCCGTCCCAGCTGTAAGTGTATCGTTAATTCTGTATGAAATACCTAACACCGAGCCACCTGCCGGAGGAGCTCAGTCTCCCGTTTTCATTGTTTTGAAATCTCACAACCGTTCTTGATGGTGATGTGGCCACATACACAGCAAAGATCTTAAAATACTTAACATCTGAAGAGTCTGCATTTTTTAAGTACATCTGAGATACCAGACATTATGTTAGCTTTAGCCCAATAACGCGGTATCTGTTCTAAATGAAAAAATGAGGCGTGAAAAGATTGATTTATAAAAAATATTCTTCCTCACAGAGTCATTTATAATAGCGAAGAAACAGAAAACACCAAAATATCCAGCAACTGGGGGCCAGGAAGATAATTTGTGGGTGTAACTGTACAATGGGAGACGATGCAGGCTCTGTGTGTTTTTTAATCCCCACCTGAGGATATTCTTTCCATTGCTTTTCAGAGAGAGTGGGAGGGAGAGAGAGAGAGAAGCACATCAATCGTTTGCCTCCTGCACGCCCCCAGATTGGGGCCGGGATCAAACCTGCAACCCAGGTACGTGCCCTTGACCAGAATCAAACCCAAGACCCTTCCGTCCGAGGGCCGATGTTCTAACCACTGACCGCACTGGCCAGGGCGACAATACAGGCATTTAAAGTGATGGTGAGAGCAATTTCTTAAACGCAATAAAAAGCCTCTGAGCTGTGTCTATATCATCAGGTAAAACTTGCCTGTAAAAGCACAGTTATTTGTGAAATAGTCAGATGATTATCTCCCCTCTTCCTCCCAAAGCTTTGGAGACACTCCAAGAAACAACAGCCTTCACGAAGATCCTTTAAAGAATCAATCATCTCATTTACGTGAAAGAAGGAGCAGATCTCCTGAGTTAAAACGGGTTATCCAGCAAGCCGGCCGGCGTGGCTCAGTGCCTGCGCGTCCACCCATGAAGCAGGTCACGGCTCCATTGCCGTCAGGTTATAGGCCCCAGTTTTGGGCTCAGTCCCGAGTAGGGGCTGAGCAGCTGATCAATGCATCTCTCATCACTGATGTTTCTATCTCTCCCTCTCCCTCTCTCTGAAATCAATAAAGACATACTTTAAAACAAACAAACAAAACCCAGAAGTAATCCAACTAGCAGGGGAAACAGGAAGGCTGAGTGTGTGCCAGCCAAATGAGGGCTGTGTATGCCTGGGGGAGAGGGGAAAGGGGACCATCTGGGGAGGCTGTGTGAGCTTGGGTGAGGTTCAGCACCTGTGGGCGCCTGCACCGTGGCCGCCAGGCCTCGGGATAAGAAATCCAGGCCCTGGGCCTGAGGCGAAAAACCACAAACTTACTGTAACTGGTTATAGGTTATGTGGGTCACAACCAGAGAGAAAAACAAGTGATTTAAAGATGTTATTGGAATTTTTAAAATTCGTGATCAATGGCTGGAAGGAGAAGTTAGATTCCTTTCCTTACTGCAGGAATTCTCTGAACCTTGACGACTGCCTCGTGACCGCACATCAAAAACCCTTGTCACAACTAGGACCCTGATCAGAGACGCTAGCCGGACATCCCAACTCAGGGACTAGGTTAAAGACCGCACATCCGGAGCCTCTTCTGCTCACGGTCCATACAGGCTTGATTCAGAGGCAGAGAGAGCCCCTGGCAGGGTGGTAGGAATATTTACCTATTGTTCCAGGTGATGCAGTTGTGGATGCAAATGGCCAAGTGTCTAGAAGAGACAACAAAGACAAAGCCCTAGCTTAGGCACCACCCATAGGAGTCCTTCCTAAATCTAGGGTCAGTTATCCTGAAAATTCCACATGTGCCTCCTGGGCAGGCTCCTACCAACCCACTGGGTTAAGGAACCCACATCGGGAACCTCTTCTGGTCACGGTCCATCCAGACTCGATTCAGAGACAGAGAGAGCCCCTGGCAGGGTGGTAGGAATATTTACCTGTTGTTCGCTCTGATGCAGTTGAGGATGGAGCAGGCCATGTGTCTGGAAGAAACAAGAAAGAGAACAGCCTTGGTTGGGCATCACAAGAGGAGCCCTTCTGGAATCTCTGGTCAGCCATCCNGTTGAGGATGGAGTTGGCCATGTGTCTGGAAGAAACAAGAAAGAGAACAGCCTTGGTTGGGCATCACAAGAGGAGCCCTTCCGGAATCTATGGTCAGCCATCCTGACAATTCCCCATGTGCATCCTTCACTCACTACCCCCGTCTCCAGCCTCCTGCTCAGGGGGCATCGAGTTTGAAGGTCCTGTGGGAGGTCACCGTGTTCCCTGCGCATCTCCAACATGGCCTGTGCTCTCCACTAGAATTGCTCTACCTTCTCTCTGCCATGAGCCAGGGACTCCCTGGTGGGTTTGAGGTTTTGCCCTGGCTCTGAAGCTTTGGGAGAAAGGGTCAGAGGAGTGATCCTTGAACCAGGACACAAGGAGATGGCCTGGTACCCACAGGACCATCCTCACATATTACTCTGACATCCCCAGCACACTGTCTCCCCCACTTTGGGATGCACCGGTCACCATGCTGAATCTAGGGTGTGGCAAGGGGTGAGACCAGGAGAGAAGCCAGAAGTCTGGTGTCCCATCATCAGAGAGTCAGTGGTGATCAACATCCACCATTCAACCAAATCCTCAGCAGCCTGGCCTAGTAGGTCCACACTCANAAGTCTGGTGATCAACATCCACCATCCAACCAAATCCTCAGCAGCCTGGCCTAGTAGGTCCACACTCAAGCAGGCAGAGGCCGCCTTTCTGACATGGACAGGAATCCCCTCGGGCAGCAACCAAGGGCTTCACGAGCACTAGGATGGACGGTGCCCAGGCGGCAGTCTTGTGAATTCCCCTCAGAGTCAATAAGCACTGTCAGCAGTGTCAGGGACACAGGGCACAATCCGTGCCCCACGTGGATTCAAAGAGCAGAGGTTCACCTGGGTGGGGAGGAAAGGCAGGGGCTCCTGGGAGACAAGGGACATGCCAGGGAAGGTCCTGGGGACTCACCTGGCCAGTATGTGGAGTGCGGCTGAGCAGCTGTGAGGAAGGAAAGGAAAGTCAGACACAAGGCACCCCGTTCTCTGGCCCATATCTAACGCTGATGACCCTCAGCCTCTACAAACTCAGCTGACCTGCTCACATGGCCTTGGTGTGGACACATCAGTGCCTGTCACCAACCTCAGTGCCTGTCACGAACCTCACACCCTCACGACCTTCCTAAGAAACACCATCTGTCCACTGCCATCGCCTGCCTCACTGAGCCCGAGGACTCACTGGCCAGTATGTGGAAGCCAGTGTCATGCCTGGGACACGCCACCATGGCCTTGGTGTTGACACCCAGGGGATATGCAGAGAAGGACCCTAGGGAATGGCTTGATGTGGATACCGATCTGCGCCCGTCAGGGAGGAAGTTCTGCCTTTTCCTTGCTCTGGTCTTTCCACATGTCTGAGCAGCACCTGGTNTGGAAGTTCTGACTTTTCCTTGCTCTGGTCTTTCCACATGTCTGAGCAGCACCTGGTCACCANACTTTTCCTTGCTCTGGTCCTTCCACATGTCTGAGCAGCACCTGGTCACCAAACCCCAGCACTGTTGGCTCCTCTGATTCAAACAGCTGGTCCGTTCACAAAGGGACAGGTTAAGCTGCTCTCAAGGTTTCATTCTGGATCCCCCCCCCCCATTCCTGCTCTTTTCACGACTCTGGATCATTCACACCACTGAGCCTCTAGTTTGCAGACAGTCCCCTCCCCTCCCTGCCTGCACCCAGCCTCTGGGACCTCATCACGTGGGCCCTGAGCTTCTTTCACAGCCTTGAGGAAAACACTGAGGAGACGCGACCCTNGGGACAGGTTAAGCTGCTCTCAAGGTTTCATTCTGGATCCCCCCCTCCCCCATTCCTGCTCTTTTCACGACTCTGGATCATTCAAACCCCTGAGCCTCTAGTTTGCAGACAGTCCCCTCCCCTCCCTGCCTGCACCCAGCCTCTGGGACCTCATCACGTGGGCCCTGAGCTTCTTTCACAGCCTTGAGGAAAACACTGAGGAGACGCGACCCTGGGACATCTGCCTCCCTGTCCCTGGAGGGCAACAGCCTGTCAGGTGCCAAGACAAGCCCCTGGTATCAGCTCCACTTCCCAACAAGGCTCCTGCTTCCTCGTTGCTTAGCAACAGCTACTGCTGGGAAGGGGAAGCGGCTCCTTGTTCCCTCCCTGCNGGGGAAGCAGCTCCTTGTTCCCTGCCCTGCATTGCCCGGCGGGACTAGGCCGACCTTCCTCCCCTGGAAGGAAAATAAGCTTCCTGCGGCATCTCGCCTCTTAGTAGGGAATTCTTTACCAGCCCGAGGCACAGCCCGGCCCTATAGAGGGGAATGATAGTCAGCGTTCAGGCCCAATACTAGAGATTCCCCTTGTCTTCATTATGGCCCTGCCCCAGGGCACTAACTGGCTCCTTCCATTCATTGGCCACTTGCCATCTCACACCCACCCGGCCCACGCCACTCTGTCTGGCCTTCAAAAATAAACTCTGTGCTCTTGGGTCCTTTCATTTTGGTCAGCATCTTACAGAGTCTGAGGTCACACAGTCAGCACAGAGGGAAGGTTCTTACCAGCCCCCCACATGGAATCAATGATGCTGCCCTGGAGGGAACACCCGAGACCCTCTCCAGGGTGGGAGGTGAGCTCCCACCCGGGGCACTGGGACAGGCTCCCTCCTCTGTCCTCAGGAAGCTGCTCCTGTGGATGAACCTGGGGCCAGAGGCACCTCCCAGCCACTCTCAGGAAATGCCTTCAGGATGCTGGGAACATGCACTATCCAAGATGCTTTTTAGCCTGAGCAGGTGGCCTAGTACCCGGGGTGCCAGCTGCCTGCAGTCACTCAACTGCCTGGCATGCCATTAGGAGGCTCAGGCAGACACACTGGGGACGGCAGTGTGTTTGTTCTCAGCAACACTACCCCATGGAAGGAGACCAGACGTGTTCCAGGCCCACCTGAGCAGATGACACCGGCGTCCTCCCCATGTCCACAGTTGTGCGAGTACCAGCCTCNAGCCCCCGGCCACTCTGTCAGGCCTTAAAAAATAAACTCTGTGCTCTTGGGTCCTTTCATTTTGGTCAGCATCTTACAGAGTCTGAGGTCACACAGTCAGCACAGAGGGAAGGTTCTTACCAGCCCCCCACATGGAATCAATGATGCTGCCCTGGAGGGAACACCCGAGACCCTCTCCAGGGTGGGAGGTGAGCTCCCACCCGGGGCACTGGGACAGGCTCCCTCCTCTGTCCTCAGGAAGCTGCTCCTGTGGATGAACCTGGGGCCAGAGGCACCTCCCAGCCACTCTCAGGAAATGCCTTCAGGATGCTGGGAACATGCACTATCCAAGATGCTTTTTAGCCTGAGCAGGTGGCCTAGTACCCGGGGTGCCAGCTGCCTGCAGTCACTCAACTGCCTGGCATGCCATTAGGAGGCTCAGGCAGACACACTGGGGACGGCAGTGTGTTTGTTCTCAGCAACACCACCCCATGGGAGGAGACCAGACGTGGTCCAAGCCCACCTGAGCAGATGACACCGGCGTCCTCCCCATGTCCACAGTTGTGCGAGTACCAGCCTCTGTGTGGGCAGTTCCACAGGTAGGACTCGTGCCCTGAGCACTGCACGTCATCCAGGAGGATGGGCCCTGAGCCTTGACCAAACCGGGCACCTCCTGGAGCAGACCTGGCCCAGCCACAGCCAAGCTGTCTGCACACCACATTGGCATCATTGGTGTCCCATTCGTCATCACACACGGTGCCCCAGGAGCCTCGGTAGAGGACCTCCACCCGGCCCTGACAGCGGTCACCTCCATTCACCAGCCTCAGGGCCAAACTCGAGTCTGTCCAGAACCCTAAAGGACGACACAAGGACACCTCCTCCACATCTGTTCTGAGCTGCCAGGCTTGAGGCAGGTTCTAGACTCGGGGACTTTCTAGAGGCCAAGTCCCACGTCAGGCCATCAGCTCTGTAAAGGCCCAGAGATCAATCTCCATAGAGAGAGAGACAGAAACATCCTATCCAGCCAGGTCTAAGGATGCTCCAAGGTCGGGAAGCACCCCCGATGGCCTGCTTGGGATGTGAAGGACTGTCCCCCTAACCCACAGATGACCACCCAGGACAGAGCTCCATGGCTCCAGGGACAGGACAGGACCATCCCTTTCTGACAACTTATTGGCTTCTCCATGGTCCCAATGGAATTGAGGCAAAGCCTTAGGTGGGGATGGATGTCTGGCAGATGGNCAGTCCATCCAAACTCGATTCAGAGGCAGGGAGAGCCCCTGGCAGGGTGGTAGGAATATTTACCTGTTGTTCGCTCTGATGCAGTTGAGGATGGAGTTGGCCATGTGTCTGGAAGAAACAAGAAAGAGAACAGCCTTGGTTGGGCATCACAAGAGGAGCCCTTCCGGAATCTATGGTCAGCCATCCTGACAATTCCCCATGTGCATCCTGCACTCAATACCCCCGTCTCCAGCCTCCTGCTTAGGAGGCATCGGGCTCGAAGGTCCTGTGCGAGGTCACCGTGTTCCCTGCGCATCTCCAACATGGCCTGTGCTCTCCACTAGAATTGCTCTACCTTCTCTCTGCCATGAGCCAGGGACTCCCTGGTGGGNATGGGAGGAGACCAGACGTGGTCCAAGCCCACCTGAGCAGATGACACCGGCGTCCTCCCCATGTCCACAGTTGTGCGAGTACCAGCCTCTGTGTGGGCAGTTCCACAGGTAGGACTCGTGCCCTGAGCAGCGCACGTCATCCAGGAGGATGGGCCCTGAGCCCTGACCAAACCGGGCACCTCCTGGAGCAGACCTGGCCCAGCCACAGCCAAGCTGTCTGCACACCACATTGGCATCATTGGTGTCCCATTCGTCATCACACACGGTGCCCCAGGAGCCTCGGTAGAGGACCTCCACCCGGCCCTGACAGCGGTCACCTCCATTCACCAGCCTCAGGGCCAAACTCGAGTCTGTCCAGAACCCTAAAGGACGACACAAGGACACCTCCTCCACATCTGTTCTGAGCTGCCAGGCTTGAGGCAGGTTCTAGACTCGGGGACTTTCTAGAGGCCAAGTCCCACGTCAGGCCATCAGCTCTGTAAAGGCCCAGAGATCAATCTCCATAGAGAGAGAGACAGAAACATCCTATCCAGCCAGGTCTAAGGATGCTCCAAGGTCGGGAAGCACCCCTGATGGCCTGCTTGGGATGTGAAGGACTGTCCCCCTAACCCACAGATGACCACCCAGGACAGAGCTCCATGGCTCCAGGGACAGGACAGGACCATCCCTTTCTGACAACTTATTGGCTTCTCCATGGTCCCAATGGAATTGAGGCAAAGCCTTAGGTGGGGATGGATGTCTGGCAGATGGTGGAGAACAAGCACTTTCCCCCCTGGGCCCAGACAGCAGCCCGAGGCCTGAGGCAGCAGAGTGGCCTCAGCAGGACCTGGGAGGCCTCCAGGGCTCACAATGAGCAATGGGGAGGCTGTCTGCTGAGCCTCTGCTCAGGACTCCACTTGAGACCTGGCATCAGCCAACCTTGTCACACCCACAACCTGGTCTCAGAGACCCTCGTCTACACCCGCACTCAGGGACTAGCATGAGGATGGCACATTTGGAAACGTTTCCTCTCACGGTCCATCTAAACGCGATTCAGAGGCAGCGAGAGCCCCTGGGAGGGCGGGAGGAATATTTACATGTCGTTCCCTCTGATGTAGTTGTGGATGGAAATGGCCAAGTGCCTGGAAGAGACAACAAAGAGAAAGCCCGAGCTTAGGCATCACCCAGAGGAGCCCTTCCTAATCTATGGTCGGCATCCTGACAATTCCCCATGTGCCTCCTGGCCCAGGCTCCTACCACCCCAACTCAGGCTCAAGGTTAAGGACCCCACATCGGGAACCTCTTCTGCTCACGGTCCATCCAAACTCAATTCAGAGGGAGGGAGAGCCCCTGGCAGGGAGGTAGGAATATTTACCTGTTATACTTGTTTGTGCTGTTGTGGATGAAGTTGGCCATGTATCTGGAGGAGACAAAAAACAGAAAGCCCTTGGTTAGGAATCACCAAAAGGTGTCCTTCCCAATTCTATGGTCAGCCATCCTGACAATTCCACGTGAGTATCCTGCCCCTGGCTACCTGTCACCCCAACTCAGGGACTGGGTTAATGAGCCCACATCTTGGACCTCTTTCTCTCGTGGTCCATCACAACACGATTCACACGTGGAGAGACCCCCCCTGGGAGGGTGGTAGGATTATTTACCTGTTTCTGGTGATGATGTAGTTTCGTATGGAGTTGACCATGTGTCTGGGAGAGAAAACAAAGAGAAAGCCCTTGGTTAGGCATCACCAAAAGGAGTCCTTCCTAAATCTATGTCCAACCATCCTGATAATTCCACATGAACATCTAGCCCATGGCTACCTGTCACCCCAACTCAGGGACTAGGTTAACAAGCGCACATCTGGAAGCTCTTCCTCTCACGGTCCATCCAAACTCGATTCAGAGGCAGAGAGAGCCCCTGGGAGGGTGGGAGGAATATTTACCTATTGTACTGGTTGATCCAGTTGTGTATGGAATTGACCATGTGTCTGAAAGAGACAAGAGAGAGCCCTTGGTTAGGCATCACCAAAAAGAGTCCATCCTAAATCTATGTTCAACCATCCTGATAATTCCACATGAACATCTAGGCCATGGCTACCTGCCACCCCAACTCAGGGACTAGGCTAACAAGTGCACACCTGGAACCTCTTCCTCTCATGGTCGATCCAAACTCGATTCACATGTGGAGAGAGCCCCTGGGAGGGCGGTAGGAATATTTACCTGTTGTACTGGTTGATCCAGTTGTGGATGCAGTTGGCCATGTGTCTGGAGGAGACAAAAAACAGAAAGCCCTTGGTTAGACATCACCAAAACGCGTTCTCCCTAAATCTATGGTCAGCCATCCTGACAATTCCACATGAGCATCCTGCCCCTGGCTACCTGTCACCCCAACTCAGGGACTAGGTTAAGGACCACACATCTGGAACCTCTTCTTCTCACGGTCCATCACAACACGATTCACACGTGGAGAGACCCCCCTGGGAGGGTGGTAGAATTATTTACCTGTTTCTGGTGATGATGTAGTTTCGTATGGAGTTGACCATGTGTCTGGGAGAGAAAACAAAGACAGAGCCCTTGGTTAGGCATCACCAAAAAGAGTCTATCCTAAATCTATGTTCAACCATCCTGATAATTCCACATGAACATCTAGCCCATGGCTACCTGCTACCCCAACTCAGGGACTAGCATAAGGATGGCACATCTGGAAACTCTTTCTCTCACGGTCCATCAGAACACGATTCACATGTGGAGAGAGCCCCTGGGAGGGTGGTAGGATTATTTACCTGTTTCTGTCGATAATCCAGTTGTGGATGAAGTTGACCATGTGTCTGGAAGAGACAACAAAGAGAAAGCCTTTGGTTAGGAAGCATGCATAGGAGTCCTTCCTAAATCGATGTTTAGCCATCTCGACAATTCCTCATAAGCATCCTCCTCCTGGCTACCTGTCACCCCAACTCAGGGACTAGGTTAATGAGCCCACATCTGGAACCTCTTTCTCTCACGGTCCAGCACAACACGATTCACACGTGGAGAGACCCCCCTGGGAGGGTGGTAGGATTATTTACCTGTTTGTGTCGATGATCCAGTTGTATATCTAGTTGACCATGTGTCTGGGAGAGAAAACAAAGAGAAAGCCCTTGGTTAGGCATCACCAAAAGGAGTCCTTCCTAAATCTATGTTCAACCATTCTGATAATTGCACATGAACATCTAGCCCATGGCTACCTGTCACCCCAACTCAGGGACTAGGTTAACAAGCGCACATCTGGAAGCTCTTCCTCTCACGGTCCATCCAAACTCGATTCAGAGGCAGAGAGAGCCCCTGGGAGGGCGGTAGGAATATTTACCTGTTGTACTGGTTGATCCAGTTGTGTATGGAATTGACCATGTGTCTGTAAGAGACAACAAGGGAGATCACTTGGTTAGGCATCACAATAGGAGCCTTTCCAAAATCAATGTCTGCCAATCTGACAATTCCACATGAGCATCCTGCTCCTGATTACCTCCCACCTCAACTCAGGAAATAGGTGGAGCATGACACATCTGTAAACTCTTCCTCTCATGGCCCATCTATACTCGATTCAGAGGCAGAAAGAGCCCCTGGGAAAGTGGTAGGAATATTCACCGGTTTTTGTCAGTAATTCAGTTTGTTTGGACAAATGTATGAAAGAAACAAGATAGAGAAAAGCCTTGGTTGGGCATCACAGTAGGAGTCCTTCCTAAATCTATGGTCAGCCATCCTGACAATTCCACATGTACATCCTGCCGTTCGCTCCCTTCTTGTGTCCTAGGCTCTTGCTCATCTCATCTGGGTTATCAGGGTTGAAAGCCCTGTGAGTGACACCCTGATCCCTCCACATCTCTAAAATTGGCTTGTGCTTCTCCATTAGAATTGCTTTACCACCTCTCATCCATGGGGCATTCCCCACTGGGTGTGATTGGAACATGAATCTGCTAAGGAAATGTCATTTCTGATCTGGATTTTGTCTTTCTGTGAGACTTTGGAAAAGTCAACACACCTATGTAGCGTTGAATTCTTTCACTTTAAAAGGCTATTCGGGGAAGGGGGTATATCTGTATCAACCTACTGAGCCTGATTTTGACCTTTCCACATGTGACCTATGAAGGTTCCAGGAAATGGATGCAGAAGTAATTTTCACACCTTTATACTTCTAATTGACTTCTCTTATCTAATTGCATTGGCTAGCATCTTTATTTAGTACAGTATTGAATGGGGGCTGTGGCTGAAGGGCTTACTTGTTTTGTTTTTTACTTAAGTGGAAATACTTCTAATGTTTCCCCATTAAGTAAGATTCTTGCTTTTAGCCTGTGGTTTTCAAATTGCTTCAAGGAGCCCTGGTGCTTGTCCAAGGCCCCAGTGAGAGCTTACTTGGTGCTGGAGCTTGGAGAGAAGATGACCTGAGATCTGCTCTCAAACCCCTGCAAGTAGAGCACTCGGTTTTTGGCTGAGTTATCTATTCGGTTTCTAGGTGAGGTCTTTTTGGATCTAGAAGAAGTATGACCCCCACAGCTCCACTCTCACTGGAGGTTCTGACAGCTCTAGATAAGTCCTATCTGCAGCCCTGTGTCATGGACAGAGAGCCAAACACCTCTATCCCCTCACTTGCACTCCTGGCTGGACTAGTTGTAACAAAGGGCTTGTCAGGCCCGGCCGATATTCCTAATACATGGCAGGATTCTCAGGGGAAATCATCAGAGGGAAAGAGGTTCTCCTGTTCCACCTGCTGCAACTAAGAATCTTAGGAAAAGACATGGTTAACTCAGAATAAAGCCAGTCTCATCCTCAGCTCCAGTGACATCTATGTCCTTAATCAGAGGGAACAGAAAGAGACCGTAAAGTGAGACCTTACTCCATTGGGTCTTAGGGACAGGAAAAGATAAGACCTGAAGAACAGACATGCCTGGCGCATGTACCATCAGGATTCCCATGCTGGGTCCTAGACGGGCCTTGGTATGGAGGCTGTCCTTCTCTTGTCCTGGAGTCAAAGTTTCCCATGGAAAATGGGCAGTGACTTTCCTTCCCGAAGCCCAGGCTGCCAGCTCTCTCGCTGGAGGCACCCGGGGGGAAGCATGGGACGTCTGCTGCCCACAGGCTGAAGGACCACTGTCCTTCTACACTGACAAGGAACCAAAGTGTCCTGATATGGGCTCAGGACATGGCACAGGCAAGGATTCCAGTTTGCAGCCAGCACGCAGCACCCAGCCTGGCCAGGGGCCTGCATGGTTTGGTGTGGACCACAGGAGTACTGGGCACGGACACTAGGACCCTTAAGACAGGACACCAAGCTCCACCTTGGTTGATTCCTCCTTTATCCCAAGGACACAGCCCATGGAAAGGACGCCCATTCAGGCCTGAGGCCTTGTTCAGCGGGCCACCCTAGAGAGCTGCGCACGCCCCCCCTTACTCCTCTGGTACCTCTCCTCGATTAGGGTGCAGTGAGGTACCGAGCCCACGGGGATCCCACGCAACAAACGTTACCTTTCTGGGCTGCTGTCAGGCGTTTCTGCGTGGACCGCAAAGAGGCTACAGAGCACAGAGAAGGAGAGGTCATTCGAAGTGGGGCCTCATCGAGGGGGGTGGCCCTCTGCCTGCTCGGCTCTGAAACAGGGGCCAGGTGCAGAGACCCCGGAGCCGCCCCTCACTCGAGGCTGCGCTTCTCCCTGGTGAGGCAGAGCTCGTCCCTGTCCCCTTGCTGGCGGGGATGATGCGATGCCACCAAGGATGCCCTTGGCTCCTGTCACCACCCCTCACCTCCCGTGCTTCACCCCACAGTCTCCATCTGCGAAACCACCGCATCGATGAACAGCCCCTCATTCACAAGATGGGACTTCAGATACCAGCCGCCTATTTCTACAGCTCGAACACCGCCTCAGGTGACAAATATCCACCCTTCCGAGACATTCCTGAGAAGGTGGCCCCAACAGGAAGAAAGGTGGCTTCTCAAGACGGGCCCCCAGGTGCGGAGATAAACCTGCTGCACAGTGCTGCTAGGAGGGCCGCCCTCCCCCTGAGAACTCAGAAGCCGTTCTCACGCAGCAGCCGGGCTATCAGGGTCACCTCCTGTGCGTGCGGCATGGGACTCGCAGCCCTGGGATTTGCCAGCTTGAGTCAGGGACAAGTTTTCTTTTCCACTGAGGGTGTAAATACCTTTTGCTTGTCATTTAATGTCCCCAAAAGAACCTATTAGTTACTCCTCGGTTTGACTGTGGCATCGATTTATGTTTTAAGGACCAGACGTCCCCAGCCCTCGTCCCCCACCTTGAAGAGGAGGGAATAGAGCCACTTAGGGAGGTATTTATTTTTCCCAAGCCAGGCCGTCAGGATGAGCCCATGGGGTGACGGCCTAAGTAGCTCTGGAGAGGACTGAGGTCAAAACCTCCCAGCCGTAGGGCTTGAGGAAAATCACCAGCCCTCTCTGAGCCACCACTTCTTTACCTGTGAAAAGGGACAGCAATACCTGCCCTCTAACACCAGAAAAGACGGGACTCGGAGCAGCGCAGGTAAACTGCAGAGCTAGGGACAGCAGGGGGCGCTGTGTCCGGCGCAGCACAGGTGACAGAGCAAGGCGATGGGCGCACTACCTGAGCACACGACTCCGGCGTCTTCCTCGTGTCTGCACTCGTGGTTGTACCAGCCCCTGTGGGGGCAGCTGGATAGGTGGGACTCCCACCCCAAGCAGTACACATCGCCCAAGAGGATGTGCCCGGAGCCCTGACCGAAGTGGGCCCGCCCAGGGGCTGACAAGGAGTAGCCACAGCCCAGCTGCCGGCAGACGACGTCCGCGTCCTGTGTGTCCCAGCTGTCGTCACACACGGTGCCCCAGTCGCCCTGGTACAGGACCTCCACGCGGCCCTCACACCGGTCTCTGCCATTCACCAGCCTCAGGGGCAAACCTGCACGGACACAGTGGGGAGCATCGTCCTTGCTCGGCCCCACCCAGCCTCCTTCCCTCCTCCTCTCAACACTGCCCATCTCCTTCACTGACACTTCTCCACTCTAGGGACATGATAATTTTGTGCAGGGTACAGAGCAAGTGTTTGGGAGACGCCAGCTACCTTCAAGACAGATTTACTAAGCATGAGAGTAGGAGCTGACTTTTCCCTCCACCTCTCCAGACACCAAGCTAAAGGTAATCTCCTGCGATGAATGGCCGAGAGGCAGAGAGAAGGAAGGAGAATGACATGCCTAGGGTCTCAGGCACCCTATGACCCTCCCTCCCTGTCCCTACGTCCTGGAGGACAGCAGGTACTGGCTCTGCGGCCAAGGCCGCACTCCGCCTCAGCTAGTCAAGGCCAGCAGTGGGGCAGACCTGCCTGACCCAGCCAGCAAGCAAAATCCTGGGAATACAAGTGAAGAAAAAAAAAAAGGTCTTATCATAGTCACAGTCTACAGTCTGGGTGGTCCACTGACCTAGAAAGAAACCAAATACATCTTAGAAAGGAGGCTCTGCTGTTTGCAAATGATCTGCGTTCCCAGACATTGGCTTGAGCTTCGCCTCGCAGGCCCACCAGGGGGCGCTGTGGCTCGACCTTGGGTGGCATTGCCTCCACCGTTCTTGCTAGAAGTGTCTGGGAGTTTTGCGACACTAGATTGAAACAAGTGGGCTGGATATGGGATGCTCAGTTCTTTAGATGTAATAAAGTACACGTGTCTTCACCAGGCCCCCTAACACTACAGTTTACAGTCTCAGGATGTTATCTAGGCTCAGCGAGCGGAGCTGGACAAGGGAAGGCACTTCACACTGGCCGTTAAGAATTCCCGGAGGCAGAGGGGTCCACCCTCCAATCTGAAGTGCAAGTAGAGTCAGCATGGAGAACAGCCACTCAGAGGTCCCTAAGTAAGTGAATTTTTTTTTAAGTCCTCACCTGAGGATATTTTTTCCATTGCTTTTCAGAGAGAGTGGAAGAGAGAGAGAGAAAAAAAAATCAATGTGAGAGATTCACATCAGTTCGTTGCCTCCCACACATGCCCAGACCGGGGCCGGGGATGGAATCTGCAACCAAGGTACATGCCCTTAGTCAGAATCAAACCCTGAACCCTTCAGTCCTCGGGCAGATGCTCTAACCACTGAGCCAAACCAGCTAGGGCAAGGAGTGAATATTTTGATGTCAGGTATCCTGGTCCTTCTTACCCATGCCCTGAGAAATTTCAACTCTGTCTTTAAGACCGAAATCCAGAGACTCCTGTCCCGGGACTCCCGGGACCCTGTGTGTGAGGACTGCATTAAGCAACGTGCAGTCTGGCACAGTCGCCGCTGGGCCCTGACACAGACCCTCCATTCCCCGGGCTCAAGGCCAAATCGAGAGGGAGACAGAGATGTCCCCGTCTGCCCCTCCTGAGGGACAAGGTGTCAGGCCTGCATGAGAGTCAGAGCCCCTCACAGTGACCGAGGATTCGGGAAAGATAGGACAATGAAACCGACTGCTCGCATGTAATAAGCTAAACGTCCTGCCTCCTCAGTGGAGCGTGACCACCCTTGTGTCTTAAGGGTCTCTGCAGCAGCGTCACCTTCAGGTCCCACTCCTGCCTCTGGCCTGAGCTCTCAAACCCAGTTCCAACCACAAAAACCTAGTTGCGCCCAGGCATCCCCTCCCCCAATGGGAGTGCCCATCGGGTGCCCAGCACTGTGGCAGGGGATTGCTCCCCACTCAGAAAGCAGAGCAATGGATGTTCCAGGGTCAATGAGAGAGCTCCTAAGATGCCTCTATCCCTGCACCTCAAAACTCCACACGGCCACATCCCTTCCCCCTCACATACACCCGAGGGTGCCGAGGGTTTTTTTTTTTTTTATATGTTTTTATTGATTTCAGAGAGAGGGAGGGAAAGTGGCCTGACCGGGAATCAAACCGTGACCTCCAGGTTGATGGATCAACACTCAACCACTGAGCCGCGCCAGCCAGGCCCGAGGGCGTCAATTTTTAAGCGTAACGGTGGCGGATGATTTTGAGCGTTTCCTAACACGGGAACCTCAGATCACATTCGAGAGCTTTACGTGTATTACCTCAGTTCCTCCTCAAAACAGCCCTGCGGGGAAACTGAGGCCCAGGAAGGTGACCTAAGACCAGCGGGCTCGCCAGTGCCTGGGGCGGGTTTGCGCTCAGGCAGCCCTCCTAGCCACTTCCCTCCCCTCCCTCCTGGGGGTGCTTTTGTAACATTGTAACTGTTTGGTCCAGACCGCGGAGTGTACTGTTGCACAGGCGGGACCACGACCGGACGAGGGAGGAGCCAGGCGTTACCATTTGAAGCGTCGGCTGAAGCAGAGGCATTCGAAGCAGCTTCGGGGAGACTTGTAAAAAACTCTAGAAAAGAAAAAACCGGCGATTATATCCAGAGACCCTCAGTTAGACGCTGCCGTCCCCACTTGCTCTCTGTCTCTGCTGGACACCCAGTGAGGCAGCCTAGGGTGAGGGGGGCAGAGAGCTTAGCAAAGAGGTGTGGCTGGAGGTCCGGGTGGACCCCATCGGCGGCCGTCCTTCCTGTCCTGTATTTAAACCGGCAGAATTCTCGCAGCAGCCCCCCAACCCCCGGTCCTCGTGGGCGACCTTGGGCCCCACTGCCACCCAGCCCGAGTTTGGTTACCATTTGACATACCTGTCCTCCTGAAAGCGGTTTCCGTCACGTCTTCTGTCGTTGGTATTACTGAAAATGCAAAGAAAAAAGGCTAACTGAGAGGTCCTCTAAAAACAGGCATTAGGCCAGACCCCCTTCTAAGAGGAGCAACGAGGGGGCTGCACTTTAGAGGGTTCCCTGGGCCTGTCAGTTCGCTTGGCAAATAGGGACTATTCCCCGGCTGCACGAGGCACCGCTGAAAAGGGGGGACAAAGGAAGGGTCCGCTGGGGCCTGGAAGGCTCAGCCCTTGGCGCTCAAGGCTGCCGGGCAGCCAGGCTGGTAATTGGGGCGGGACCTGTAGAAGGGGAGCCTGCAGCAACGAAGGGGTGAGTCAAAGCGTATCTGTATGTTTTAAGTTAAAATGAAACATTTAAAATGTGCACATATCCTGCCCTGCTGGTGTGGCTCAGTGGTTAAGCGTCGACCCATGAACCAGGAGGTCAGGGTTCGATTCCCGGTCAGGGGACAGGCCCGGGGTGCGGGCTCGATCCCCAGCAGGGGGCGCGCAGGAGGCGGCCCATCGGTGACTCTCATCATTGATGTTTCTGTCTCCCTCCCTCTCTCTGAAATCAGTAGAAACATATTTTTAAAAATAAAAATAAATAAAATGTGCACATATCCTATTTTAAACAACATTTTTGAGTAACCAGCCAACTAGCTGTCTCAGTCACATTAGAAAAGAGCCCTTCTTAGAGCCATGGTTCTCAAAGCGGGTTCCGTGAAGCAGCAGCAGCAGCCAGGAACTTGCCACAGACGCAGGTTCTCAGCCTTCCCCAGACTTACAGATGAGAGCTCCACAGGGGGTGCCCTACTGTGTGTTCAACCACCCTCCAGAGGAGCCGGCTGTGCAAGAGTTTGCACACAGCTGCCTTGCAGCCAATGTAGGGAAACGTAACAGATTCAGCAGAGCCAACAATTCGTCCGGCGACTGCGTTTTGTGCCCACTGCATGCTAGACTCCAGCTGGCAGGGGAGTGCTGGAAGCACAGGATGCCTCCTTCGGGAATTTGCTCTAGTGGTGAGGCGTCCAGGTAAAGGATCAGAGAACGGGACCTGGAGGCTCCGAGGGAGGGGTGCCCAGGAGTCCAGCAGAGGGTCACATGGATTTCCTGGCGCTGTACCAGGCAGTCCGGGCAGACGTGAGCCCGGCAGAGGGGCAGACGTGGGCTAACGTGGGCCCCCAGGAAGGAGAGACACTGAATAAACGGCCCCTTAAAGTAACTCGTAAGGACAAGACGGCAAACTCCGAGGGGGGCTTCCGGTTGTCTCAGGCCAATGAAGAGGCGTCTCCCCCGACCTGTCACCCTCATTAACGACAGTTTCGACGCCTAAAAGTCCCTCCGTTAGGTTTCCCCCTTCTTTGTAAGACACTGATCTTTGCCAAACCCCGGATAGACCGTGGGAAGCAGAAGCCCAAGAATGACCAATTTGGTAGGAATTAGCTGGTAAGAAATTATTACTTTCTCATTTTGCAAAACATTGACCTTGAGGAAATGTTTCCAAGGGGAGTTAAGGATGTTTCTGAAGCAGCCTTGTAGAGCTACAGGAAAGCTGCAGCGCTGATACAGAATTCCCACGTGCCCCCGACCTAAAGCCTGGGGCGGGCGCGAGAGTGCTAGAAGTTACCTGGAAATTAGGATGGTTCTGCCCTGTCTTCTGAAATTCGTGACTGTCCCAAAAAGCACATCAGAAAGGGCAGGAGGGGTGGGAGAGAAGGGAGAAAGAAATGAATTAACAGGGGGGAGAGGGAAGGAAGGGCGGTGAGAGACTGATGCCGGATGGATGAGAGAGAGAGAGAGAGAGAGAAACCGAGGCAGAGACAGAGAGACGAAGACAGAGGGGGAACAAGCAGCATGCGGGCTAATCTCCATTCACTTGGTATCTCCATAAAGTGACACCAAGCGTCCACGGTCACCCAGATCTGCCCATGACTCTCTCATGTGCATTTTACTACCTGACACCCTAAGCACACGGAGACATGCTGAGCTACTGAGCTTGCAGTCCCTTATCGACAGCAGCGAGCGACAGGCCAGAAGCGGGGATCCTGGCGACCGTGTCTGTGCTCGGCTGTAATCACCACGCGGAGGCCCCTGCAGAGAGGAGTCGCGGGATGGGCGCTTAGGGGAGCAGTGTCCCCCCTTTCACAGCGCAGCAACCTGCGGCCACATTTCGGGGCCTCTTCACAGACACACCCACGGCTCCTTAGCTTCAGGCGTTTCTCTAAGACCCTTCAGTCATCGCCTCAGTTGAGGGACTCGCTGAAAGCGTCACCATCGTGATTGGCCTCTTCTGAGCACAACCATGCCATTTCTCAGCCAGAAACAAAACAGCAAAGAGCCATTCCTTCAAAACACAACCGTCTG